TTTCCCCCCTGGTTTTGCCCAACACTTCACAATTAACACACGCTCACTTTAATAAAATTATAACAAAAAGTTTAATACTAAATAAATCACAATGTCTTGCATTGTCCACGGTATAATCACATTCGACTAGTACTGCATGGAAGGTGTCGGAGACTGTCCTGATTAATTATTAATAATATAATATATAATATATAAAATATTTATAATGTATAATATATAAGATTAAAGACATTAAAGAGAAATACTTACATGTGAACTTTACAACGATGGTACCCGGCAGTACATAGGAAGAACCATTATAATGATCATACCTGGTAGTATCAGTTCAGCGACAGCTTAGGGAGTTAAGGAATATACGTAATACCGCAACCTGTGTCAATTTTTATTGTTTAAAGCCAAAGGGGTTCTCTTTTCTTGTGTGAAAGAGCAGTGTTTGAAGGTGATTATACCGCGAACAATGCAAGAGATTGTGATTTATTTTGTATATTTTGCCGACATAGTTTCACTAAAGTGAACGTGTGCTTATCGTGAAGTGCTGGGCGAAACAAGGAAGGTAATTCCCAACAAAGGAAATGAGAAAGAAATTACGTTATCCCCCTACGTATTCCTGAGAATAAAGCAATTTCCATATAATTGTGTGCTTCAGAAAACGTCGAAAATGGTGTTCTGGAGCATAAGAATACTAAAACGTTCCTGAGTAAGGATCCCAGACCCCCTTACTATAAATGCTAATTTAAAAGTGCATAATTAAGGGCATATCTAATTTTACCAAATTCCGGAGGAGGCGAACGTTCAAGCTTTTGTGTCCTGGTACCGAGAAAACCTTAATTAATATTGGCGGATATTTTACGTAAATGCCCGCCAATAATGAAGTTCGCATTTTCAAGATAGATTCGACGTTGAACATATTTTCGAGATTCAAGTTTAATTTGTATTTTCAACATCCAGTATCTTTAATGTTGAATCTACTCTTCAATGTTGAATTTAACTTCAATGTTGCAACCGTACTATCTTCAATGTTGAAACTATTGAACTAATCGCTTTAGATCGCGTTACATGAACTAATCGCTTTAGATTAGTTTGTGAACATCCCACAAGCACAACAGCACATACTGCAGTATAAATGACAAAGTTTTCTTCTTTTTCGTCATATGGCTAAGCCGAGGAACAACATAATGAGTCCCTCCTCAGGAAATGATTGCTAATTGAGCTTGATAGGACGAAAGAGTAGTTAAAACAGTACATTAGATTTTTATGGCTTAGTTGGATGTGTCTTACTATATCGCAAAGTATTTTAATAGATCGTATTTAGCCTACAGCTTGTCTATTTTCCCAAAGTTTTCTCTATAGTAAGTAAATGATGGTAAAAAAATTAAAATTCGTTAGAAAAGCTTCTTATTCTTGCCCAGTCCCCCACGCAGCCTCCTTGCAGAATTTGTACATTTTGGGGGACAAAAAAATTCTGTTAATTGATTGAAATATGTCAATTTTGATGTCAACTTGATCGCTAAAGTTTGGCAAAATTTCAAATTTTGGACAGCTAACCCCCACACAGCTCCATCTCAGACAATCGCGTGCAAAAATACTGAGACGTTTCACATTTTTGGCCATTTTAAAGTACATCGCCCCCCCCCCCTGCCCCCATGATCAATGTTGGAAAAAGTGGGTGGAATTTTCTCTTTTCAGTCATTCACACAACCTTGAATTGGGGGTGAGGGGGCATTTATGCGGTTGTCTCAATAATTTTTGCTCCTGATTGTAGGTGACTGCAGTTTCTTCCACCATAGTTTGGCTCAGGATTGTTACATTCTCGTGACCATGTTTCAAGCCCCCCACCACAAGTTACAGAACAAGAACTTTTTTAATGACCAGTTACCATGACTACCATGAACTATAGGAAAGAAAATGATGTGTTGGGGTCACACACGGCCATATATAAATATTAATTGTTTATCGTCTTCGCATTTCGTTGATTATTTTTTTCAAGTCGCGGGTGGGAGCTTTATATTTTTTAATGTAAAGACATCGCTGTAAAGAGTGTTCTAAAGTTCTAGTAAATATATTCTAATAAATGTTTTGAAATCAGTTGCTGAAGCCTGATATTATCAAAACTCAACTACTGTTGCACTTTATGACGATGAGCATTGCGGAATCAGAATTCCTGTATATATCACGTTTTGCATAAATACTTCAAAATAAGGTTGCCAGATTAATAGACCTTTTTTAAAAAACTGCCTTGTAAAGTAGTTTGCGGATAAAGGAAAACCCAGCACAGCCATTTGGTCGTATTTACTCGCAAAATACGTCACTGGCAGACTTTTTAAAAAGGTTATTGTAGGCCGTAAAATAAATTATTTGCACGAAAATCTAAGTTGGGATTCCAATTCCTTTCGGTCTTCCATGAACGTATCCTTTAAAGCCATTTCCCATCTTATATTCGTCATTTCTTTAAAGAAAAATTTAAAAGTTGCTTTACAGGTATAAAACGACTTTTCCACATGTTTTCAACTGACCTCTTGGCAGTTGCCTCATTCCACTCCTGGCACTCCGCCATATTTTGAGATCAGTGGGATGACCACCCACTACCACTATCCGCTGAGCTATATTATTACAAGGAACTAGAAATACATGCACGCAGCAACCCCTCGCCTATATTTTCCAAATATGGATTAATTTAAGATGAAGTATTTCGTAATATAATTGGCCAACACTGAACGCAGGTTAGGAAAGTTACAGCTGTACATACACAGCAAAAACGCCTAGTCTGTAACAATAAATAAATAAATAATTAGTTTAATAAAACTGCTTTGCAAAAAAACTGAATTACACGGCATTATATGACTTAGATATCCTATTCCTAAAACTTTTACAACCATCAAAGGTATTTAACAGCTACATAATTTTTGTCAGCCTTGGTATGTGATATGCAAATTAGTAAGAAAGTATAGAATAAATTATGTCCGTGATTTCTGGCCATGGCTAGTGTCCCTGTATTTCATGTAAAGTGAGTATGCTTCTATTTCATCTAATGCAAGTGTGCTTCTATTTCATGTAATGCAAGTGTGCCTGTATTTCATGTAATACAAGTGTGCATGTATTTCATGAAATGCGAGTGTGCCTGTATTTCATAAAATGCGAGTGTGCCTGTATTTCATGTAATGCGAGTGTGCCTGTATTTCATGAAATGCGAGTGTGCCTGTATTTCCTGTAATGCGAGTGTGCCTGCATGTATTTCATGTAATGCGAGTGTGCTTGTATTTCATGTCATACGAGTGTGCCTGTATTTCATGTAATGCTCGTGTGCCTGTATAACCTGTATTTCATGTAATGCGAGTGTGCCTGTAGTATTTCATGTAATGCGTGTGTGCCTGTATTTCATGTAATGCGAGTACGTGTGCTTGAATTTCGTGCAAGGCGTGTGTGGCTGTATTTCATGTAATGCGAGTGTGCTTGTATTTCATGTAATGTGCGTGTGCCTGTATTTCATGTAATGCGAGTGTGCCTGTATTTCATGTAATGCGACTGTGCCTGTATTTCATGTATTGCGAGTGTGTCTGTATTAATGTATGCGAGTCTGCTTGTGTTCATGTATTCCGAGTGTACCCGTGTTCATGTATTGCGAGTATGCCTGTATTCATATAATGCGAGTGTGCTTGTATTCATGTAATGCGAGTGTGGCTGTACTGTATTCATGTTGCATTGGTTCAGGCGCACTGTATCCTCACTCTGACGCGTGTTTCCTGACTCTGGCGCGCAGTCACTTCAATCTGGCGAACTGTCTCGTCACTCTGGCGCACGTTTCCTCACTTAATCTGGCGCACATTTCCTCCACCTAACGCATGTTTCCTCACTCTGACGCATGTTTCCTCACTCTGACGCATGTTTCCTCACTCTGACGCATGTTTCCTCACCCTAACGCATGTTTCCTCACTCTGACGCATGTTTCCTCAACCTAACGCATGTTTCCTCACTCTGACGCATGTTTCCTCACTCTGGCACACATTTTCTCACTCTGGCGCACTGTCTCCGAACTCTGGCACACATTTACCCACTCTGGTGCACTGCTGTTTGTGGTATCGCTGGTATCGAATACCGAATACGCTGTATCGTCCATCATTACTAATAAAACCCCAATGTAGATCCTTGGGGAACTCCACATGTCATTGTTAAAGTGCTAGTTTGCACGTTATCTATTTGTACAAAGTGAAGTCTATTTGTTAAGTAACTGTTAAACCATTCAAGTGAATGGTCAAGTCAAAACTACAGCACATTTTGTATAATTTTAAATATAAATATCAAACAAAATTTGAATTATAAATAGTATTGAAATTTAAAACAACGAAATAGCAACCATTGTGAAGTACGCATAAGATTCAACATGACATTCAGCATGACATTCGATATAGTGTAAATTAACTCATTTCAATCACTCAAACAAACATACAGGTCATATTAGCTGACTAGTACCTTTATGCTTTTTCTACTTCGACAATTTCAATCATAGTTTAATTAATAATCATTTTCAATCTGTTATAGTAATTCACCGTTTGCATCGATCGCTTCATATAGGGTTTGTATCTAAAAGTATTGTTTAGTCCTTAGAAGTAAACCTCTCTGAAACTCTTCTTCTGTTGTAAAGCTGTTAACAGGCGACGATTCTGTTTGGCGAAGGAGGAAATTTTCCCGTTTGCAGTCCATAAATTTCTATAGCTATGTTGTCCGCACAATGTGGATTTTTCCTAAGAGACGCTTTCTGTAAGCCGTCAAAGATTTTTGATGAATATTTTGTAGGTTGAGAGATAATTTTGCCAATTTCTGATTCATACAGGCAACTAGTCGCTTTCCATTTGAAACTTTCCTCTTCTTATCAATTTCTTCTCGTAGCTACGTCGCGGAGTACGAACTTGACAATAATGCGGCCTTGAATTTTTCTCGTGGGGGGGGGGGAGGGCGGGGGACCCTATGAGCCGTAGATATATCATTTTCGTTCAGTAAAACACCTAAGGTTGCTCCAATGGTTCCATATCAATATTTTTCGGCTTGCCGTTGGGTAATGTAGGCATAACTGTAATTTCCAGACAATCACGCCTTTGGTATTGTTGAATTTCGTCAATGGCGACCATATTATCATAGTCGTTGTTCGTTAATTCGGTTATTGTTTTACCCTGGTCTTCGATTTTGCTTCCAATCTGCTGTACTTGTTTCTTAGTTGTCTGTGTAATCTTTATTAACTGCTCATACTGTTCGGAAAAGAAGGACAGAATCTTTTCAAACTCCTCCAAGCGCTTGTTTAGATCACGAATTTCAGTATATAACGAAGCATTCGCTGAGTCGATTTTCCTTTCGAATTTCTGGTAGAAATTCATTTTTTCATAGTTCTCGAAAGCTTGCATTTGTGAGCTGTTGTCTTGTTGTTGTCATTTTGATAGATTATTATCGATTTTCTACTTAAAACGAACTTACATGAGTAGAACCATCACACTCGAGGTCTAGCTCATGTATGAGGTGTAGACAAGATATTATCAGTTAGGAAATAAGCAGCGAGGAACAGCTCGTTGTTTCCACTGGAGGCACACTTCGGTTTGACTGGTAGTATTTCCACAAAATGTTTGCTTTCGTTCTTGGTTTGTTCCAGGATTGTACAAAGCAGGACAGTTCCTTTTGAAATGACTAGGTTGATTACAGTTGTAACAGGATTTGGGGCGTAACATAGCTTTGTCTTCACGAAATGGGTCAACATAATCTGCTGAAAGGAGAGGAAATGAGGGAAAACTTTGTTCAAATCTGTTAACAGCTTCACTAATTTCAGATCGAGAAGAATACTTGGCGTCTCGGATCATCAGAACTTTCCCAATTTCCGGTCGAAGTTTTATCAAAAATGCCTGTCTCAGTTCGATATCATCATTCGCGCCTGTATAGTGTTTTCCAAGACATACATTTCTCAAGTTCGTGTTGAATGTCACAAAATCGATGTGCAAAGTTGAAACAGGTTCCGCTTTACTTTGTTGTAGTAGACTTGAAGTAATTCACGTATACGTTCATCTTTAGGTTTTCTACGTTTCTTAACTAACGATGTTTTGACAAGGTTAAATTCGGTGTATAGTAATACTGTTCGATAGTTACTATTACTATTATTTATATTTACCCATGCACAAATAATATTTACAAATTGAATATTTAAGAATAGTATATAAACAGGCTAGAGACCTCTGGAAATCCTGTTGGACTTTTAAGACGAGGCCCCTATAATTTTAGTGTTCAGTAATATAAAAATAGGTTATGTACATAAGGACAATTTGCAATGAAAAACGCAAACTATTTACAAACAAATATGGAAAATGTTTAAGGAATATTTAGTACATTACACAATACTGTCATTAACATTCCTGAAATATTTAGTATACATCAACCAGACATCAAGTAATGGGATTTTGCAGTTTTCTTAAAAGAAAAATGTGATTTAATATTTTAAAATTCTTCATCAAGGCAATTCCATATAGAAACTCCTTTGATCTTTGTTAAATACAGTGTATTTGCGATAGTTTGTTCTCTTAGAACTCACATGTAACTTGGTAGAATTTCGCGTATTATAGTTGTGTAGTTCGTTATTTTGTTTGAAGTATAATCATTATAAAAGTCCGGCAAATTTTGACAATAATTGAAGCGATACATGAATAAGCTGCATAGATAATCATTAATTTTATAGATATTCAAGATTTTCAATTGTAAGTATTTCCCCAAACTAGATTTCCGTACATGAGGTATGGATAGACCAATTCTAGGCTTGCGTTGGCCCTCGCGTTTCCTTCCGATTCGGTCTTTTATTGTGTCTCTGGCATTGGTAATCTCTAAATTTCGTCCTAAGATCTCGTAAATCTTCTCTGTCGTGTTTTCTCTCTCGTTTTCGTTGACATTGAAGAAAAGCAAGTAATCGCGCATGGATCGTGCTTTGAGATCAATGACGCTCTCTTGTATAGACGACGGTACCGGTTTGATTCTTTTAGCTCGCGTAGTTTCTGTCCGTTAAGCTCGTTGGATCTTTTGGACTTATCGGCTTCTTCTTTTAATTCCCGTAATTCTGCATGGGCAAATTCGATTGAGTCCTTCATGTACCCCATATCTCTCTCAACGCAAAGAATGCGTTCTTTTATCTCGTCTAGCGTGTCTAATTTCGCCATCATGGATTTCACCATATCGTAGATTTGGTCGATGCACTATATTTCTTGACTTTGATTCCCATATTTTACTTCTGGTTCGTTCGGAGTATCATAAACTTCAGACGATCTCGTTTTTGCCTTTTCAGTTGATGTATTTAGGGTAGATTTCGACATTTTTTGTGAGCTGTGTTTCAAAGCGTGTTGTCTCGTCAACATGATATATAGGGATATCATGTAATAGTAATATTGGTAGGGTCCTCTCCAAGAGCATGTTTACATTCTTCTTCAGCAAACACAACAAAATCATAAGCACGTAAATCCTACTGTACCTGCTGCTCAAGATAGGTTGTCCAATGTTTAGCTGGAACTCCAGAACATTTGAATAACGTCGTAAGCTGGTCAAGAAAACGGTCAAGTTGTTCATCAGGCTTACCTGTATAGCGAGGTAATACCACTTGAGGCGACTTCAAAGTGTCAACATGATTTGAACTTGGGGGAATTTGTGGCTAAATCTGGGACAGTTTTCGCGACTGCTTCGATGTGTTGTCGATTTGCTTCTTGGGCGTCGTGTTGATTTGTCAGCTGGGATTTTACCACCTCAGTTAGTTCTTTAAGGATCCCTGTGAGGTTCCTCAACTGCCGCCACACTGTATTTAGTTCTTGTTACAAACGATGTAAAAAATCCTCTAAAATTCTGTTAAAACAATTTGCATTCTCCACCCATTGTAGTGGCCAGAGTGTATAAACATACACTTTATTAATATCAACAACAATAAAAACAATACATGAAAAATAAACGAAATAATAAGTTTTTCTTCTACGACATTATCATTTAATTTCCATGTCCTCCGTCTCTCCTGTTCACAGGTTGTGCTTCCCTAAAATCCTACTACAAAGTTCAATTTTCTCGGGGGAATGGGGGATAGTTGCCCTCTGCTTCCCTGAATTCAGCTTAGCTCTCAACTGCAAATAAAGATGATTATTATGTATTCAAAGTCTATTCTCGTTCGTGGTTGGTCAAAACGCGTCGGATAATTCTCCATATCTTGAAGCCTTCGCGTTATTTCATCTGCTGACGCCATCAAGGAGCAATATGTTTTAGAACCAAAAAAAGTATTATTGCACGCTGTGGTTACCATATTTTTGAAAGCGTAAACAAAATGGCTTTGCTTTCTTTCTAGCTTTTGAATATATAATAAAACAATTATTAATATTGAATTCCGTTGTCGTATGATATCGAGAATTATCAAGGCCTCCGTTTGTGTTATCCATCTCAGCAGTACAAGGGTGGAATGAATTATTGGATGAATTAAATAACTAATAACGTTCAAGATTCGTCTTCTTTACTCTATTTTAAATTGCGTTTAACCATTACACAATGTACGGGGGCATGTTGTATAAAAACGTTGTTGGCGCCACAGGGGGTCCAACTAAGAACTGTGTTATATGAATATGAATAAAACATCATATTAATTAAACGTAATATGAATAAAACATCAAAACGTAATATATATTTAAATTATTGCACTTACTTGTATAAATCATAAGAGCTTGCATTTACAGTGAATAGCTTCAAACATTCAAAACATAAGCAATATAGTTTGCTATTGTTCAAATATGGCGAATAAATTGACAAAACGAAAATATATTAAATAAAAACATATGTCAGCGTGTGAAAAATTAGCTTCCATATGAATTTAATGAAATGATAATAAACCCTGAAATGATAATAAACGCGAATGAATAGCAAACATGAAGGGATCCTGCTGTGTTTAAAATTAAACTGAAAATGCATTGTCATTTCCTTAATCCATTCGGCCGATGTAGGCATTTGGGGGCCCACCACCAAGGTTACGGTTTCAACCCCCCACCACCAACACCACGCAGTGCACGCACGAAGTATTTGCATGTTGTACATTAGAGAGTGGAGTGGGCTATGTGTATGTCATTGTATATTATTCTTGATATTGACCATATATCCGTAACTTGGCCTCCATTCTGAATAAGTTACAATACTTATACTTACAGAGTCAGTTTTAAGCAGGGGCGTAGCCAAGGGGGGCAAGTGGGGGGGGGGCGGTCGCGCTCCCAATCGCAAAAAAACTATTCTCTGAAAAAGGCTAAATCCGTAGAGAAATGGGGGGGGGGGGGCGGCGGGGTACACGTTACATCCTCGAAGCTGAAACGGATTAAGTACGTCTCGACTGAGGAAAACGACGAAATACTGGAAGAATTTGATTTCTAAAATCTCGTTAAAACAGTTGTAGATATGGTTCCAAGAGGAATAGATTTAGTTTAGATTTACATGTATATGCATTATGATAACATGAATATTCTTCTCAGACTTATTCTGTATCATATATAAAAGCGAGTAGAAACTTAGAAATGTCGGGGAAAATTTATGTCTTCGACGCACTTTATAATCTTCGGGATTCTGCAAGATTTCACCCCCAAAATGCTTGAAATCACATTTCAGGGACTCTAAATTTCAAAATTTTCACGGGGGTGCATGCCCCCGGACCTCCATAGATGGTCTCGCGCCTTCGGCGTTCGCTTCGCCCCCCCCAAAAAAAAAATGAAGGTCTGGCTACGCCACTGGTTTTAAGGCATTCAAAATACACGATATCGTATTAAAAAATACCTCATTAAATTTAATTTTACAAACCAGTTAATTTTCAACGATTGTATTTTTATTTTTTGGTAGACCACACCAACTTAGTTGTACATAGATCACTATATGTCACCGACATACAAGCTGATACCTAGCAATGCGTTGGATTAAATACAGTTCGAGTGGCTTGATTTTTGATCTTCCACCAAGCATGGTAAAAATATTATGTTTCAGCTCTAACAAAAAAAACTGATTTAAATTAAACGATCCAAAATTGCTCAGGACAAGAAATTTCTAATATCTGCTTTATCTGATGGTATTAGAGCATATCAACACAAGAAAATATAATGAAGGAATTTTCTGGAGAATTTTGCTGGTGAACTTTCGATCATTATTTTGAACTTTATCGAATAATTGTTTAATCTCTTATTCTTTCTTGGCAGAGTATCGACTCAAGAATAGTCTTTTGCGATCCATAACTGCACAATACCAAATAGCCCATAACATGTGCCCATCATTGTTTGTTAGAGAATTCACTTAATTCCAGATGCAAGTTCTTCAACTGAATTCATTACAGATACCACAGTTCCTTTAAACTGCATGTGAACTAAATTCAAATGTGATTGAAACTGCTGATGATCAAAATCTGGTCTTAACCTCTCGATCAAGCTAGTTTGAGACGCTAGCAACAGATGATGGTATTTGATTTTTGTAATAAACTTCTGGCCGTCTTTAGAAAGTTACAAGTTACATGAACTGCTTGATTTAATTAATGATGGAATATACAAACTATAAAAGCTATTACATCCGACTATAGTGTTGTCGTTGTATTACATATAGGCCCTTTGAATAACATAAAGCATATACTGTAACTATAACTAGCCGAGCTAAATCGCCTACGGAGTAAAAAACAGATACAATGTTTTAATGAAAATATTTGAATTTTGAAACCATATAATGTTTAAGGTCATGACCGTGAAGAAAGAAAGAATGCAGGTCATTGGCTACGAAGATAGAGGCCGCTTACAGTAGAAATATAGCATATCACAGCGCAACAATGAAACAACTCGTAAACGTTGTTAATGCGTCCGGTTATTGCGAGCAATTCATAAAGTACGAGTGCATAGGTACCACTTTCTATTTTCAATCACCTTCAGGTGCATACTCCTGGTGGCTATGAGTATCACGTCAAAGATACAAAATGTTGTATTGGGGTGGTTCAACTCCAAATGCTAAAAGCTGTGCTTGCGGAATGAATCATCGCTGTTATGATCCCAATAAATTCTGCAATTGTGAATGTGTGCAAGGTAGATGGGTTGAAGACAGCCGGTACTTGGACAACAAAGAATATCTGCATGCCAGGAACCGAGTTGAGATTTGCATGGTGATACAGGAAACAGTGATGAGGAGGGAATTATCATACACTAGGAAAGCTGCTGTGTTGGGGCTGAACATTGTGTCCTATATTCTATCTTGTGAATACTAAATAACTTTAATGCCAGATTGCCAATGATATTTTTGAACCTGATCCAATGCTAGATCGATCTAATTTTAATTTATTCCTGCGTCATGTTTGATGTAATTCTAATGTTGATATCTTAATTTAAATGCAACTGCATAATTAACAATGGCTGGAACTCATAGCTTGAATTAAAAAACAATAAAACAATTTCTCCAAATCAAATTATCAACACCAGAAACAAAACATTTAAAAATTATCTACCAAATATTAAAAGTCCATTTAATCCAAATTTTGCCTCATAATTAAAATTGAAATATTGACAATTCGTACGAATAAGGCGCATGCATGGACTCTACTGATGTCCAACTTCGATCTTAGTTGAAATGTGCTAGACGCATTTTATGCAAACCGTTTTCAGGTTTAATAAATAAGTCGGTTGAAAGTGGTAAATATTGCAGCTAAATTAAAACATTCAAAAGTTATCCCTATTTACAAAACTTTATTTCTTGAGAAACGAGTATCTGATTTCTTTTTCAATATGGTTTTCGGAGAAAATGTTTAACTCAAAATGCAATCCTGGATATAGCAAATCAAAGTAGTATAGGAACTGCCGGTTCTAGACCACTAGTTTTTTTTCTAGACCACTAGTTTTTTTCTGGACCACTAGTTATTTACCTTTAGTAAAAATTAATTATTTATTTGTATTATATTAAAATTAATCATTTATTTTTATTATATTAAAATTAATGGTCCCACACCTCAACAAGTGGGTTCCCGAGACTTCAGCAGTTCCATGGTCCATTTAATTGGAATGTGAAACTGCTATTCTTGTTTTTCATTTAACTTATCTCAAAGCTTTGGGATCACCTTACCAGTCCAGCTGAGACTCTAATACGATTATCCTAAGTGCAATCCTACACTTTTCCAGTATTGTTCAATTTTCCTATT